TATCCAGCAGCTTGATAATCTCCTTTTTCACCACTTCCTTCATGATTGGGTTGAGTCTTCTTTGTCCTTCAATGGTTGGCTTGGCGTCATCTTCAAGCAGGATTTTGTGCATGCATATGGAGGGGCTGATGCCCTTAATGTCAGCAATTGACCACCCAATGGCTTCCTTGTGCAATCTCAGTACTCTCAGCAATTTGTCCTCTTCAGTACCTGTAAGCATAGAAGAAATGATTACAGGTAAGGTGTTACTTGCTCCAATATAGGCGTACTTCAAATGTGAGGGCAGAGGATTAAGCTCGAGATGAGGTGGTTCTTCAATTGAAGGGTTGAGGCATCTTCCTTCCTTGGTCAGATTTATCAGTTCAAAGGATTGCTGTTTAGGATGCCACTTGGGGGAGTGGTGGAGTGGTTCAGGTAGCTCGGGCAAGTGGCCCTGTACTCATCCCCTCCTTCCTGTTCCTCATTATAGTCTGGGCACAAAAGTTCCTTGAGTAGATCATCTTGCAGTAATTCTTCCGTCACCGCTTCCTCTGCTTCTACATTTCTTACCATGTAGCAGTCGTGGACTTCAACGGGATATCTCATATTTTTGAAGATGTTGAAGGTAACCTTCTCCCCCATCAAAGTGCAGTGTGATTTCTCCCTTTTTCACTTTAATGATTGCATCACTTGTTACCAGAAAAGGTCTCCCCAAGATGATGGGTACATCCCTGTCTTCTTCCATGTCCAAAACCACAAAATCTGCTGGGTAAACGAAGTTACCAACTTTCACAAGAACATCATGTAAGATTCCTTTTGGGTAGGTCAGTGATCTGTCTGCCAACTGTAAGGTCATGTTAGTAGGTACCAGAAATTTGTCCAGATCAAGGGATTTAAATACAGACAATGGCATGAGATTTATGCTTGCACCAAGATCTAGTAATGCTTTTGAAAATTCTCTTATTCCTACAGTGCAAGGAAGAGTGAAACTACCCGGATCTTTTAGCTTAGGTGGTAATTTTCTCAGGATAGCCGCACTACATTCTTCATTTAGAGTGACAAAAGCAGAGTTATGCATTTGTGGCTTATTTGCCACCAAATCCTTCAAGTACTTGAAGTATTTAGGCATTTGTTTAAGTGTATCAACAAGTGGTACATTAATATGTATACTTTCTAAATTCTGAATAAACCTGTTGAGCCCTTCATCCATTTTTGTTTTCTTTTGTCTTACTGGATATGGTGGGGTTGGAGCTAGCTGTTGTGGTTCCTTAATTGGTGTTGGAAATTGAATTTCCTCCAGGTTTTTCAGCGGTTTGCTCCTGTTCAACCACATCATCATTATCAGATATTTGCTCAGAAGAAGTTTCATTCTTACCTGCAGGATCACTCGCAGGAGTGACTTCTTCACTTGGCTGATTGAGTTGCTTTCCACTTCGGAGAGTGACAGCCTTTGCTTGCTCTTCGTCATTCCCCTTGGGGTTCACAATTGTATCACTGGGCAGGCTTCCAGATGGTCTTTCAGCATTTTGTTTTGCAATCTGGGCCAACTGATTTTCCAAACTTTTGCACGACACCGCCAAACTCTTGATTGCATTTTGTATAGAAATCCATTCATCTTCCCTTGGTATGTATTGTTGGTTAGAACGTTGTTGATTCTGATAGTTCGGAAGCTGACCATCTTGTCTGTGAAATCCTGGGGGTTGAGCAGGCCTTTGATAGTTTCCTTGTTGTGGTGCATTGTTCCAGTTGGTTTGTTGCTGATTTCTCCAATTGTTGAAGTTGTTGAATCCCCCAGCATTGCCCTGTCTGACAAACTGGACAGCTTCCATTTTGGAGGGACAGTCATCCAAACTGTGGGATCCATCACATAATACACATACTTCTGCCTTGGATTTGGACAACTCACTTCTGAGTTTAGTCATTTCGTTCATCATAACAGCCATTTGAGCTTGCAGATGTGTACTGGGATCAATTTCCATCATCCCTGGCTGTTTTGTACTTGCCCTTGGATCAGATTGCCATCTTGAATGGTAGGCGGTCATATTGTCGAGCAACTGCCTTGCTGCATCAACCGGCTTCATCATAAATACACCACCAGCTGCAACATCAAGGGAGTCTCTTGTAGTTGGCAGCAGACCATTGTAGAAGATGCTCAGTTGAAGGTGCTCTTCCAAACCATGCTAAGGGCATTTTCTGACCATTTCTTTCAATCTTTCCCATGCTTCATAAAGCGTTTCTGTTCCATGCTGCTTGAAGTTCATTATTGCTGTTCTGAGTTGTGCAGCTTTTGCAGGTGGAAAGAATTTTGTCAGGAAACATTGTCTTAACTCTTCCCAAGTGGAAATGGAGTTGTTGGGTAATGTGTTGAACCATGCTTGGGCGTGATCCTGCAAGGTAAAAGGAAACAGTCTCAGTCTAATGTCATCATTAGATAAGCCTTGAATTTTAAAAGTACTGCATAAACGCAGAAACTTCGGATGTGATCATTAGGATCTTCATGAGGTAATCCATGGAATGGGCGGTGATTGAGTCCATTGGATCATCGTGGCTTGAGCTCAAAATTGGTTGCTTCTACATCGGGAACACTAAAAGAGATTGGACTTCTTCTTGCTGTGGGATGAAGAAATCTCTAAGCAGTCTCTCTGGTCGATTTTGTTGATCTCCACCAGGGTTCCTATTGTTCTCCGGATTACCACCTTGGTTAGCCATTTCAGATGAACCTTCCTGGTTGTCCTGTTGCAACCGGTTCTGCCTTCTTCTTGCTGCTCTGGTTCTACGGATGGTAGCTTCAATTTCTGGGTCAAAAACAGGTTCACTTTGTTGGTGCCTTCTAGTCATACACCAAAGAAAAGAAACTGGAAGCTTAGTGAGGTAACCAGAGAAGAATTTTATATATGTACAAACAAACAAAAACAACAAATTTTTGGAGGTTTTACGCCATCCCCGGCAACGGCGCCACTTTCTGGTGCGTGCCGAGTTCACCAAAAAATATTACTAGCTTAGATTATGATTTTTGTAGATAATGGAAGCTAGGTCGATCCCACGAGGACAGCTAATTACCAAAATTGTTGTAAAGAAACACTACCAGTCAGACAAGGTGTCACTTAGGGGAATGAAAGCTAGGGGTGTCTTCTCCTCTTCCTACTATTGTAGTTGTTTTATGAGCACTGTAATGGTTACGTTCTTGTTCATTCAGCTCACCTATAACTCTAAGTCAGTTCCCATTTTTTCCTAGAGTCATCTTTGCAACCTTAACAATCTATTTTCCAATGATTGATTCCAGTTACGAAGTCTTTAAGCTCTTAGGCCTTCAAGAATGCTTATGTCAACTAAGTATATTCCTATCTTAGTTAAAACCATAGACTGTTACCTCTATGTCATAAGTTAAAGTTGAAACAATCCAAACCAAGTTTATCTTTCCAGATCTCCCTTAGTTCTAGCATGCATTCGATTTAGTGATCAAGTAAATGAATGTAGAAAAACTTTCAACCATAAAACAAGGAACAAAACCAGTGCCTTAACAACTACAACATCAGTCGAGGAGAATAACCCCTGGGAACTGTTTAGCTACTCATATGGATTAATGCTACATCTACTACATCAAAAGACATCATAGAAGTATGCAAAGTAACAAAGTTCGAGCTAACAGTCAAGAGATAAGAAGAAAGCTTGTGCAGTTTCTGCGCCACTCCTGCGAGTGAAAGGTTTCACTCGTGGAACTGAAGAAGGAACTGGGTAGCTACTCTTCAACTTGGCTTCCTCACTGAGTTGTTGCTGCTTCTTCTTTCTTCTTGCCTTCTACCTGGAGTTTTTCTGGGTATTTTTAGCTACTGAAAGGGTAACCAGAGATTGAGATTGATTTTTGAGAGTGCAGTTCCCTCTTTTATAGGGCCTAGCAACTGGTGTCTTCATCATGAGAGCCTCCCCATGCTTGGAGTTGTTTAATCCTCCCAATGTCTTGAGCCTGCAATCCAACTTGGCCGTTCCTTTTCTCTTATTCCAGCAGTGGCCTTCTTGCTCTCATTGACCAGCGGTGGTGGCTGAGATTGCGGCTTGGGGACAAGCATGCCTCTAGGAGGAGGCAAAGTCATTAATGACAAGATGCTTCTTGTCTAAGGGCCTTCTTCTTCGTCCAGCTCAGCACCCTTGCCTCAGCAGCCCATAATTGTTCCTTTGGCTTCTAATTTTCAGCAATTATTCAATCCAGCCCTTACTTAACAACAACATGAAAACGAGTTAAGTAAATTGCACCAATGTTAGAAAATACCCCCAATTTTTATCAATTACAAAGTTAATTGTGATGCTTTTATGTAACAATTTAGCCATTATCACTGGAATCCCTCAGAAACTGCTGTCTTCTTTCCATCATCAGCGTCAATAGATCTATCCTTGCTTGCAGTCGTGTTGCATGAAAACACAAACATTAGAAATCAATCACGTTTAAGTTGAAAAAAAGATAGAATACAAAGAAGCAGAAGGGCATACCATTGTTCCTTTCAAGCATTCTTTGATATCTGGTGGAAGAAGACATATTTTTTTGCTGAATAACAGAAAGGTAGAAAAGATAGGAATTGCAAGTGTGGTAGAAATGGTAGGATGATCTCGTTTTTTATAGATTGATTCTATAAAAAACGAGATGATCTCTTTGAATGAACCTGTTGATGATCTCTTTGAATGAACCTGTTGATTTTCTCCCTGCCCCTGACTATTCCTCTTCAGATTGGTCCATGTTTATTGTAAATGTGTCTTTTCATTTAATAACTTCCAGAAGAAGATTAAGGGGCAGTTATTAATTGCCAGAAGCTGTTACAATTAAACAAAACAGTCAGAAATCGCCATTGTTCATTTCCAGCCTAACATTGTTTATCCTAAGAAACTGAAATAAAAACCAAAATGTTCATTTCCAGACGCATATTGTTCATTTCTAAGCCACCATTGTTCATCCTGCAAAACTGCATGTTTGTTCACAGGAATTCCAGAAATGTACCCGCCTCGCTTTGGGTGCAGCTTGAAAGTGAAACTTATAAGGGTTGATCAGGACAGACCGGATGCACATAACGGCCAACAACTTCGGGTTCACTAGATGCCATCCTGTTGTAAATAGCTTTCTTCGTCCTCACGGTCGCTGCTCTCTTCCTCTTTCCCCGGGCTTGATCCTTTTTCTTCTGAACAATACTTACCCACCTTACATTAAGCTCACCAATTGGCCTCAGTTGCTCGAGATCTTTAACAACCACATTTGATGCTGAAGCCTCTTCTTTTTCCTCTGCCTCTCTAGACTGTATAGCCTCAACTTCAGCCTCGACCACTCTTGCCATCACACTCAGACCTTCTTCGATAAGGTGTTTAGCTGCTGGAGACGGCTTACTTGCCGAAACCAGCCTAATAAACTTGTCGACAGAATCTGACCTCCAAATTGTAGAACCTACAACCCCAGACCCTCCATTACTAACTGAAGCAACAGCACTACATTGCTTGTTACCGTTCCTTCTCCACCGACCCAAAACATAACATTCTGGAATAGCATTTACATTGTTTACATTGTAAACACGTAAACAATGAGCGCATAAAAATCCAGTATCAAAAAACATGTTGCAAGTACAACAAATCTCATGTGTCCGAAGATTATAATGAACCTGATGCTGGAAAACATCTATACTGTTACGGTTTACATAATACTCCCTCCGGTTCTTAATATAGGACATTTTGATTTTGTCCTAAGTTTCACCTAGTACACATTTTTAATTGATGGAAAAACCTTAAACATATATTTTCACATTCCTTGTATTCTTTTGATTATTATGAAATGCTTATAAGGTTTTCTTATCAATTAAAAATATGTACTAGGTTAAATATAGAACAAATCAAAATGTCTTATATTAAGGACCGGGTGGAGTATAATGCTACCTCATCGTTAACTTGCTAAATCATCGAAAGTTCACAAGAAAGACCAAATTCATATTTCTGTTGAAATAACAAGTAGGCTTCAATCGTGTAGAACTCACGTGTATGCGTAAGTAAATTCACATCTTTGAACTTCATCTTTTACACGTCCGTTATTACACCTGAAATTTTCATGAGTCTCTTTCTTCCTCCATCCCTTCACCACCTCCTCAAACTTATCATAGAAGGTACACAAGCGCGTACATTTTGGGAGTTCCTGATAAATTGCCTTGTTGGTCGACTCACTCCTTTGTGAAGAAAGTGCACCACCAGAAAACTGGTCTTTGTTCAGAGCTGGACACCATTTATGCCTTATGGAATATAACTTGCGCAACCATTTATTATTAGCATATTCATAATCATCACACTATCTGAAAAACAAAACAAACAGAATGATCATCGTGCTAAGAAACTACAATGTTCATGCCAGAAACTCTACTTATGCACTTTTGTCAAAACAGTCACAGTATATCTGATGCATAAAACTGCACTGTTCATCCTACGAAACTACAATGTTCATTTTAGAAAAAACAATGTTCTGTCCAAACAGTCACAGAAAAGGATACTTACTACTTCCCGTAAACTCAGCCTGTGTATCTGTGCATCTCAACACCATACAGAACAAATCCATAAACCCTTCCTTTGCCCTCAAATAGCCAATGTGATTCTTTGAGTTTTCGCCTATGTGCCATGTGCACAAGCGATGATGTGCTTCCTTAAAAACATCCGGAATGGCGCTCTCCATTAATGTACTCTGATCACTCATCAAAGTGGCTGGCTCTTTACCTCCCATTAACTCCAAAAATTTAGAGAAAAGCCACTCAAACGACTTGGACTTTTCATTTAGAAAAAAACCAATCCCAAACATAATGTTTTGGTAGTGATGGTTCATTCCCGTAAAAGGCGAACACACAAGTTTGTACCTGGTTGTCCTATAGGTTGTGTCATGCTCAATTGCTTTCCTCTTCCTTAGAATATCGAGCAACTTATTGGCATCACCACCCTCCCACCTTGCACTTTCAAGTGCAGCCACCTTGTTTCTCGCGTCCACGATGGTGTAATTAAGGTTGGGAGAACCATCCCTTGCTTATGCAGCATCTTATACCCGTGTGTAAGCCCAATTCCATGCTCCTTCATCCCAGCTAGAAGCGCTACATCATTATCGGGCATCTGGCTATGCGACTGATCTAAGTGAAGCTGATTCTCAGGTATCATTTCGTGGTTATGATCGAATTTGTGCACAACCACCTTCCAAATGCCTTCCGCGTCAACCTTAATCTGCAGCATTGCACCACATCCCATACGAGTAATAATCCTGTTACAAAACCCTTTCCATCTAATCTTCGTACCCCCTTGTTTATTGCAAGCAAACTGTTTCACATTCAAGTCACCACATGCCCTGTACCTCAACTAAAAGTGTTTAATACCGAAACCAAGTCTTCTAGCATACGACTCATAACACATATACGCCTCCATCAACTGATTTGAACTCACGGCCAAGAAGATCTACATCTACAAAGACAAAAAATAAAAAATCATCCACAACTAATCCATGAAAAATGAAAGTTAGATATAGTTCATGTAAAAATATAGAATACTCATTTGGTGAAACTACAATGCTCATGTCAGTAACTATAATGCTTATCTCATAGAACTACAATGCTCATTGCAGTAAACAAAATTCATCAACAGTAGTTCTGCATGAACTACAGTTTATCTAAAACTCAAAATATTCATCTCACGAAAGCACAATGCTAATGGAAGACAAAAAAATATCAAAAACATTTTGAATATTGAAATTCATCCAATAGTAAAGAAATTGTGGTTCACCTTCAACAGAAATGACTTCATCAATTCTTCCGCAACAACGATGCGGTCATCGTCTGATTCTTCTGCATCAACGATGCATTCATCATCTGATTCTTCACTTGAGTAAGGGACTATGGCACCAGAATTAGGAACAGCAAACATTCCTTCCAAACAACCCATCTACCAGATGAAAACAAACAGAAAAAACGTAATGAATCTCGTGAAACAATTTAAACGCTATTGCTAGTGAGATTGAAATTCATACGACACAGCTGATAAGATTCTTATTAAATTAAAGACATCCAGCAAATGAAGAGTTACCTTAGAATCACCGACACGAATTGAAGATGAAGGAAAGATCGCAGTTAAAAATTAGTAGAAATTCACCGCTACAAATCAAGAATTGAGACGGAGGATCGCCGGTGATCGTTCAATTGCAAAATTAGGTCGTAAAAAAGGAGAAGAGAAAAAGGGGGAAAAAGACCGGGGATGCATAAGGAGCCTTCTTTTTTAAAAAATCTAGGGACGAGGTTTTTTAACAGTGGCTTAAACGCGCCCGTCACCAGGTGCCCCATAGAATTTGTGGAAAAAGAGAGATTATCAAACTGGCCAAACTTGATTTTCACCGCATAAATATACAGTATTTATCAGCATAAATCACAAAATCGATATAAACTAGTTTGAAAATTAATTTTTTTACGTTATTGATTCTTAATTTAAAGATTTATGGATCCGTACAAGTTAATGAAATGAGGCAATATGATCTCATAAAATTCCCACAACACCCTAGACAAAATCAAATCCGTGAATTTGTAAAAGATAGACTTATAGACTGACAACTAAGTTATGCTCATTAAATTTTTTAACAGGAGTGAGATAATCAAGCGATCATACTCAAGTTATTTTTTATTTTTCTTTGGGTAAAAAAAAATTATTCTTCTGTTTTAGCTTTACAAGTTCATGTATTGGAGATGGGTTCATCATCAATTTAATAATCAACATCTCTCAATTATAATCTGAGAAGAAATTGCATTATATTTACAAAGCAAGCATAAATAATGATCCTACGTGATTTGACTAAAATGGCTCACTCTATAGTTAGAAAATTCATCTGCTTTTGCATACGGCAGTCCTCTCAATATCTTTGAAACACCATTGAAAGGCTCTAAACGTTCTTAGATTAAATTAATTATATGGCGGTAAAAAGGTTATCAGTGATCATAAAGTAACAGTCATTTGTTAAATAGTATGTTGTTTCCCACTATGGTACGAATAGGTCTTTTTTCGCATAATAAGTAATTGGTACACAACATGTATTTTCTTACCCATAGTGTCCGAAGTCATTATTTTAATTAATTGAATTAAACTAGCTATTAAAATTCGGAAGACAGAAAAATATGTATCAATTTAACAATATGCAGATGATGTAATAATTATGGTAAATACACATAGGAATAAGCCTTGTGTGAGGAATTCACTTAAGCCACCGAGGTTCGACACTAGAAGCGGCCATCTTTCAAAAAGCGCATCGATGTTCCAGATCAGCCGCCCAGAGAAGATCCGATTTGATGTCACCCGGATGCCGAGTGACCCGCCATCTCAATCCATCACGACAACGTAGATCGTGCTTTTCATCTCCGGAAACAAATCCGGTTAGCCTCTAACAGCTGGTTATTCGGATCCATCAGCTTTAAAAATCGGTTCGCTATTTTTCTGGTTCAAAAAACTAGTTTTTCTTGGGAACCGACCTCTCTGGTCAACAAATAAATTGTATCGGGTTATGGTTTAGTTAGGTGACAACTTGGAGGCAGCAACCAACTTCTCTGTGTATCTGACGAAGCTTGGATCTGCACAGTGCCTTAGGACGGGCGACGATGATGATCTAGGCGGCGGTGGACGGCCTAAAACCTACAAGACAGAGCATCGGGTGTCTCCCGAGGGTAGACTCTCTGATGCTTAAGTCAATAAAAGAATAAAGAGAGTAGAGAGAGAAGGATGTGTATCGTATGTAGAAGATGTGTAGAAGATCTGTATTATGAGAGAGGCACCACCTCTTTATATAGAGGTGGTGTTACCTGTTTCCTGAAACCCTAGTGGAATAGGTTTAGCTGGTGACTTAATCTCCAAGTAACCTAATCCTATGCCCAATAGGCCTCGGGTTTATTTTGGACTCGTCAATATCACTCACTGTTCAAGATTCTCAAATATGTCCACCAAATGCGGTAGTCCGTGAACAGTGATGCACAAGTTGCGAATCACGCGAACAGAGGAAATGATTAGTGTGCTCTATCGTTATTACACTAGTCTATTCCTGATGTAGTTTACTAATATTCAAATCATCGTTATTAAGTGACGCTTCTCTTTGTACGGGGTAAGTCTTACGCAGTGCCTTGAAAATATTTTAATTTATCAATAAATTTCCCATGTACTAACCTGGTTTGTTAAAATATATATATATATATATATATATATATATATATATATGTATGTATGTATGTATGTATGTATGTATGTATATATAGCGGTGATATATGCAGAAAAAAATTTAACAAAAAAAATTTATTAAAAATAAGATGACTAAATCTTAACTATTTTCTAACCTTTAAATGGATAAACTCCTAAAACAAAAGTATAAGGACATTTCCAACTATGGGTGTAATATGTGACACTACACTCACTTTTCTCGAGTTTTACCATTGAAAAGCGTTTAGTTATACTAGCTGAGATTGTGCAGACAAACTATTTTTGTCAGATTTCTTACCCCAAGTAGCCCAAACAATGATAATAGCATGTCTGTGTGAGGGTGCAGATTCGTGGGTTTTACCATTGTAAAAAATGACAACGGGTCGAGTGTAGTGGAGTTGTGATTTGCTCTGACAAAATTCCCCGAAATGAGATAAGTGTTGTAATTGTTTTAAGTATGGACGGTAATAATTTATTTTCAGTTAAAATTTCTAGATAAATTTTTCTGCATGAGTTATTATCCATTCTTTTCAAAAATTAATGTTTGTTGTATTTTGCTAATTTAAATTACATGCATTAATGTGAGTTTACGAGGGGCTTAGATCATTCACCATTTGGACAAGTGAAGAATATGATTTATACTAGAAAAAAGAAACACACACAAGATAATGTTTCTAAAGCAATTTTTAAAACTGAAGCTCTTATTGAACTCTCAAATGTAAGAATACAAATTACAAAGTTATACTCCCTCCAGAAAAAATTGCATTATTTGTTGGGCTAAAAGAGTCAACAAATAAGACTACTTTTATGGGACAAAACACGTACTTATTACAGTGAGCTTCTTCCGAAAGGAAAATATCGTCAATATTGATTATAGTATTAGGGCTCATCAGCCTCACGAGCATAGCCACCATTACCGCCACCATAGCCACCTCCATAACCGCCGCCATAACCACCACCACCTCCATAACCCCCGCCACCACCATAGCCGCCACCTCCTCCATAGCCACCACCACCGCCATAACCGCCCCCTCGGCCGTAACCCCCTCCACGACCATAGCCACCACCTCTACCGTAACCACCTCCACGACCATAGCCGCCACCATATCCGCCACCGTAACCACCACCTCGACCATATCCGCCACCATATCCTCCACCTCGGTATCCCCCATAGCCACCTCGATAGTGCTTGTCTTCCTCAAACCCTGCAGTAGTCTCAGTCGTTTTTGCTGCGCGTAAAAATATGAACATGCAAATATACGGGTTAGAGTTTTTGTCCCTATAGACATAAATACACTACAAATAAAAAAATAAGCCTTATATGAGAAAATAAATAAATAAATTCAACAAAATAAAACGAAATTAGACAACAAGAAGGGAAAAAGTTCGGCGCGCGCTTACGTTCTTCAACTTGGGAGGAATTCTCCTCAGCCAACTGCCGAGCAGAAACCTCGGAAGTGATCATTATAGCCAAAAACAAGGCTATGCAAGCGAAAATGAGAGCCTTAGAGCCCATGATGAAATCTTTCTTTTTCCTTTTTTTTCACTATCTTTCGAACTTGTTGTGAAGAAGATTGAACCAGAATGATCCTATTTACAGGAAAATTTAGCTGAAATCACAAAGTGGGAATGAAGAGAAAGAAATCAGCAACCATTTGATGATCTTATTGACTCGATCAAGATGTAGTTGGGCGTTGGAGAAATGGATATGTTGTGATGGTGGATTTTTTGTTACAGGTAAAAGTCCAAATCTGCAATTAATGAGTTTCAATAAATTCTATTTTAGGATAAGCAAATTGGAGGAAATGAGGATGCGCACAAGTTAGTTTATATTCTAATAATTTTGTCTTTGTGTGTTTGCTTCGGAGATTGTCCAAAATCGAGGTGGAAGGGATAAGATGTCATCTTGTTTTTTGGAATATTTTTATGTCTGAAAGCTCTATGTTTTCTAAATCTGACGCAAAAAGGAAGGATTTTCCTTTAAGCTGGAGAACGAGTCAGATATTGCATGCGGTGCATGCATGCAAAATTGATAGTCTACTCGTCAAGAAGAAATCCAGTTTGGGGGGAAAAAATTATAAATTTGATAACTAGAGTATCATTTTAATTTATCAATTTTACAATAACTTTTAGATGATAGATCTCATACTCAATTAAATTTTAGATAATGAAGATTTCATAAGTTCAAATTGTTCCTAGAATACATTAATCATTTTTTCTATGTAAAGAGAAAACTATTCAGTAAGGTAGACTAGTCACAGTTTGGACACTCCCAAATTCTGAAAGTGTAATTATATCAGTACTCAACTCACTTTTCCATTCAACTTTACACAATATTCACTTTTCGTTGGTAGTTTAATTTATTTGGTAAATGTTCATGAGTTACTGAATGCCAAGATCAGATACAAATGTACAATCTCATTACGGTTGCGTAATATTTCCTCCTTGCTAAAAAACAATCCATTTATTAAGTAGAAATTAAACAGTGAGTCAATTAGATTAGTATGATTATTACTTCTCTCAAGGTTGGCTACTGTTAAAAATAAAAGTATTTTCAAGTTTTCAAGTTACGTTTTCTTCACCACACTCGCACGTAATGTATCAATTACATTTCTTTCTCTTTGCAAATTAATAATGAGTCAGAAACCGAGTCTAGTTTTAAACTGGTCAAACATATTATAACTTAAAAGGTCGACTACTAGGTCACTAGCTAGTCTTCATGGTGCATTGTAATGATAGTTAAACTAAGGGAAACAGATCGTTAAATTGAAAGTGAAAAAACTAACAATGTATCACGTAAATTAATTACATGATTTAATCATTTTATTTTGTTTTAGTTACGATTCTTCTATCTGACTTGTATATGTCAGTGCCAGCATAATTATTATTGTTCAAGAAACAATTTACCTCTTGCATTTTTAACATTTAGGCGATTATTAAAAAATTCCAAAAAAAATGAAGAAGAAAAATTCAAAATAAAATTAACCATCAGGCCATGCTTCTCACCAACCCTTCCCATCATTCTTGAATGTTTCTTTTTTCCCGGAGGTTTTGTGAAGTTGAGTTCAAAGGCGCAGGTCGCCACAAATGAATCCCAAGATGAAAATCGCTCGGACGGTCCTCGGAATTGTTGGGAATCTCACCTCCGGCGCTTTGTTCCTTTCTCCAATCCCTACATTTCATACGATTTGGAAGAACAAATCCACTTTGGCATATCACCCTTACCCATACTTGGCTGGGGTATTAAACTGTATCTTTTGGGTGTTATATTCCATGCCATTCATCCATCCACACAGCACCTTAATCACAACCGTCAATTCCTTTGGTCTTTTTCTTTACGTGTGTTATCTAGCCATCTTTTTCAACTACACGGATCCTAAAATCCCAACAAAATCAAAGGATAGGTTGAAGGTTGTGGTCGGGTTCATTCTGGAGTTGATTTTTGCGGGATCCATAACTGCTGTTGCTAAATTCGCATTTCATGACGACGACTTTAAATCGAGATCTAGATTTGTTGGTTCCGTTTGTGTTGTGTTTGGTATCGTTCTTTCCGCGTCCCCTCTCTCCGTTATGCGCGACGTTGTTTTGATGACAAAGAGTGTGGAATTCATGCCGTTTTGGATTTGTTTTGCCGGTTTCTCCAACGGCTTAGTTTGGTCTGCTTATGCTTTTCTCCCGCTCGATTACTTTGTTCTGACTGGAAATGGGATCGGTGCATTATTGTCGACTATTCAGTTGATCCTTCACTGCATGTATCGCGGCAAGACTACTCCAAAGAAAACAGCGAAGCCATCTGAACCGCAGCTCCAGTTTTGAGTTCATTTTTTATTTTTTTTTTTGGTGCAAGGGATCAAAATTTTTTAACATTCAACGCACTGATTTCAGTTTACTATTAGATTTCATGATGCAGATTTTTTTTATTTTTGTTCAACGGGTCAAAATATCGTGGGATTTTATCCCAGAATTATTACTCCTATCATATATCCCTCATAAAAAATTATTACTGAATGTTTACATGAAAAAAAAAAGAAAATAGATGTGAAATTAATAATTTACCATTATAAACAAAAGAAATCTACATAGCCAAAACAAATTTTCCTCTATGTAATACATAGGTTAATTACGAAATATAAATGTTACTTGATCTATTTTAAAATGATTATTTTATTCGTGGCAATAAGAATAATATAAAAAAAAATATAGACAAAAATTGTATTGAGTTAGTAATTGTCCGTTTGAATTGTTACCTGTTTTTATGATTACGAGCAAAATATCATGGTAGGATAGAAGTGAATTAATGAATGTGGCTCATTTTAAACCTATAATATATGATTCACTTTAACGTGAATGTGTATAGCTTGACTCTGAAGAAAATAGAAAATAGAACACATTATTTACAAGGTCGGTGTAGAAAAACCATTCAAAAGTGAAATCTATTATATATATTAAAGGAGAGTTTGTAATCGACAGGTGTCACTTAATGAGTAAATTTAGAACTACCGTGCCACGTGTCCTCATCAAAACTCTCCTTCATTAAACACTTATAAGTTAATTAGTAAATATGTAAAATTATTAAATTAAATTTAAATAATTAACCAAAAGTTAATTTTGAAAAAGTCAATAACACGTATTTTGGTTATTATATATGTATATTATCACCCTATAATTAATATAATAAATAACAAATATATGATATAAGGAAAAATTAATGATCAAATTAAGAATTATATTACGAATTTAATTCGAAACTAAGTTTGGATACATTAATCGTAGGTTAATATTATTTTTTTAGATTATTCTATTTGATATATTTTTCGAAAATAAAAAAGTGATTAGTTACCAAAATAAAAATAGATTACTTACCAAATAATTATAATACGAATCCAATTTGAAATCAAGTTTGGATACATTAAACATGGCTTAATATTATTTTCCAGATCATTCCATTGATATATTTACCAAAAATAAAAAGAGATTAGTTACCAAAACTAAAATTAAATTAGATAACCAAATAATTATATTACGAATACAGTTCGAAACTATATTTAAATACATTAAACGTAGGTTGATTTTATTTTTGATATGATCCCATTTGATATATTTTCCAAAAATTAAAAAAAAAAGATCATTTACCAAATAATTGTAGGGATAAGAACAAAGCCTCTGAGTTATTTCTTAAAAACTAATCACCCCTTGACTTTTAACAAAGAACAAAAAATCTCCCAAACTATGTCCAAATAGATAATTTCGCCCTTATGACAATGAATAGTTGCCCACTTTGATTATTTAAGTGGAAAAAATAAGTCAAATGACAAAATTACTCTTTTAAAATAAATTTTGAAAATTACTATTTTACAATGAATCTTTCACACTTTCTACTGTTTTTAAAATAATCCAATTTTCATCCAATGTATTAGTTATTAAAGGTCACACATACTTCTAAGCGTAATAAACCCTTGTGTACTTTTTTTTTTTTAAGTTTGACAATTTCTACTAATTCTAACCATTTACATACATGCATATTCTAGAGCAGTTTTTACTATTTTTTTTAATTTTTCTATATTCTTAAAAGTTTCATATACTGTACTAGATAGTTCTTGGTGATTTTTGCCCTTATTCTTCAAAAATTATAAGAAGGTTCAGGAGTATAACAATAAATTTAATTTCTGATTTTTTTATTTAAAATATTACAATAATTACCTTGGTTTTAGTCATTTTATATCCATGGACCATCGACCACGAGTTTATGGCGATCGAGAATGGTTTTTGTCCTTAGGAAGAAATTCGAGGGAATTAGTATGTGAGATATAATTCGAGAAAAAAGAGGGGGAGGGATTTTGCCTATTCCAAAATTATATTATGAATATAATTCGAAATCAAGTTTTGGATAATTAAATGTATGTTAATATTGTTTTTCAGATTTTTTAAAATAAAAGGAGATGTGTTATCAAAAAAAATAATAATAATAAGTTCTCATTCCCTCCTCTCCTCTCCTTCTCCTCGCATCCTCCATCCCTTTCCCTTGGCTCCTTCCCTTCCATCTCAATCTTCTTTTCCTTTGAAATGTACACACTACCTTTTCTCTCTGTTAAGTTGTAATTTTTGAGGTATATTTTTTCTTTTTTTAGTTGAAAACGGAGTTAGATGAGTTTCTATTGATATTGTAAATTGTACTTTTAATATGATTCACTCTTGTTTAAATTGATTTTTATAATTACGATTATGTTGACAAAATGTCCATCAGCTGATTTCGGTGTGAATGCTTGTGGACAACCTTCAATCTGATTTGTAATTAACAGTGGAAACAGTACCCAAAAGGTTCATCAATGGGAAATCTATATAATTTGTTTTTACTTTATTTTGAATTGTCAATTCATCATTTTATCTAGTAGTTTATGATTTGGGATTATAAAGAAAAATTCACCACTGCTGAACATATCTTTTATTTTTTTGAGGGGAGACATCATTTTTGAACATGCATTATATTTTTCATTTTAAAGATTATTTCTTTATATAGTCTGTCATTGGCAAATATTTATTAGTGTGAATGGTCAATTTTTATTTTTAAATAATCATGAGAGCCGCATTTTAGTATGCTTTTGCACCGATATTTTTAGAAAATTTTTAATGGGTTGAGTTAAAAAATAGTAAGCATCAATCTCGCTTCAAATGAGCCAAATATACTAAAAAGAAATTGCTCATACTCTAGAGTTTGAAGGTAAATATATACTTTGTTTGAGACATTAACTAACTAAATATAGTCACTTTAAGTGTATGAGTATCTATATGCTTTGTTTTACGGGAGAAGTGTGGCATCATGATGACAAATAACTGAAATAAGTACCTCAAGAATCACTCATAACTAAGGAAAAAAGTTTGATGAAAAGATACGGATATGTATTTCGGAATGATTTATTAACTTTTATTTAAAATATTTTTTCTATTGTTGTATTTTATATACTTTTGTTAGAGTTTGTTTTCATTTTGCTTCATGCCTAAATATATCTATAAACTAATAAATACCAATTCAGCCTCCTAAAGGATTCAATATTTGATTTTTATGATATTTATTTTTTGTCAGATCTCATTTGAGTTACATATATATTCTGGTCTTTTATAAACTTTTGAGATTTTTCCAACAAAATATTCTATACTTACGGGTCGTAATGTTGGAATTTATAAAGTACCTAATGTTGTTGAATAATTTCGAAATTTTCATTTTTGTAGTGTCACCATGCTTTTACGATAACGATATTCTTAAGGTTAAAACATTTTTTTCGTTGTAATTATATTAGAAATTAAGTATTTTTTTCTTGGAAAGATCGAATTGCTTCTTAAATTTTTTACTCTGAGGTAAAAATGGTAATCAAATTGATTTTTATTGACTGATTTATTGAAAACAACATAATCAAGATCTATAATATTTTTTTTCAATTCCAACAATAAAGAATACATGCAATTCAATTATTGTATTTTTTTTAATTTCTATTGTTGAAAATAATTTTGATATACCAAACAGCAGATTAGACAGTTGATCATATGAATTTGTAATTAGAAAAAACTTTGATATACTAATATTACTAAACAAATAGTAGATTAGATTGTTGTTCATAGTAATTTATATTTAGAAATTCATATGAACAAATAGCAGCTGGTCAAAGTGATAAAAGTATTAGATTAAGTTAACTATGATTCCGAATTAAACCTCACATGGGTATGTAGTAGTGATTGTTGGTAGAGATTTATTTTCCTAAAAGGACCTACTCGATTTGAATCTGAATTAGTCGAGACAATAATTTTGGACATCGGGTACATAGTATACAAAAAAAAAATGACAGTCTTGATTTCAGATACCTGATGCATAATATACAACAAAAAAAGAGCAAAAAATCATATAACACTTTTCACAGGAAAATAATAGTACTTGGATATTACTCTAAAATATTTTAAGATCCGCACAACGTGCGGGCATAATACTAGTAAAAATAATTTCGGATGGAAACATCTATAAAAAAAATAAAATCAAATTGTGCTAATACTGGAATCAAATTGTGACTTGTGGCACTTGAGAGTTGAGACTCGAGAGTTCTTGAAAGTTGAAACTACTAATAGCAGTATAAAATTCCATTTCACCCACGCGCCAAAATCTCAGCTTTTGTAGGACATTCAAATTTCGAACCGAAAAAAGAATGTACTACTCCGTTGGCCCGCAGCACCACCAGGCGCCGCCGTGCGAGACTTGTGCTCAAGGTCACAGCACCGCCTTCAACCTCCCAACCTCCGAAGGCGGCAAAATCTGCCTAGTTTGCTTCTCAAACCTCATTTCAAACCCTAAATCCCCCACAATTCACGTTTCATACGCCATTTCCCAGCTCTCCCAAGCTCTAGGTCAACCGCAATTCCTCCACACCTTCGTTACTTTCCATTCCCATTTCCTAATTTCGCCGCTCGTTCACGCGCTCTCGGCGTTCAACGACTTTGCCCTCGCCGGACAAATCGTGGAATTATGTTTGCAAATATGCGAGGCGGCTCGTGATTCTGATGTCTTCGGAGATTTCATCGCCAAATTGGCCGATCATCTATCTTCGTACTCGCTCGCTTGGAGTCGGCAACAAGTCTACATTGTAATGCTCTGTCTCATTACTGATTCTTGTTGGCTTAATTTTAGTGGTTTTGGATTTCAGTTTTTCCCTATGATGTTATGTTTTAGTAATCTCTGCCTACCTCAATTGTGAAAGTACTTGATTGAGCTTAGTCGTTCGTGAATTACAGTCCCTAACAGTACCATATCCTATTGTTTTTTAATGAAGTAATCAGATTACAATTTTATGTATATTCACTTAGTCGATTTTCGAATTTTTGGTTCCGATGTCAACCAAATTATGTGAGCAGTTTTGAGTGAACCAAAATTGGTAAAGCACTTTAGGAAATTTGATGATGCGGAAACTGTTTTATTTTCTTCTAATCGGCTAGTGAGGCGAATCAATACCTTGTGTCCAAAATGTTTCTGCTCGTGGGCAGACATCGGATTTTTGCCTTACTTTTGTTCTGTAGATAGATTGTGTGGACATTTTGAGACTTGAATGTGACTTATTCGCTCCAGTTGCATGAGCAGTTCACAAAAGATTAACAAAAGAATTCTTGATAAGGGGAAAAAATGTTTGAATTTAATTGGAAATCATGTTAATTTATCATTTTAGCTGATATTTGCATTCTAGAAATGTAGTCCATATCTGTTTCAGTAACCGGACAAGTTGCTTCATCCTTTTCCTTTAGTGCAACAAGTGTATTTTGTGTTAAAGGAAGCATCACACCAGATGAAATAGTTCACCACATCATGTTTGAAGATGTGAACACGAGATTGATTCCTTATGTGTTTGAATGTAGCTGCACTGCTTGGGCGTTCTCTTGGACCATCAGAAGAATGATCCTCTTGTGCAAGTCAAAGACAAGCATGCTCTTGTTTCCAATCTTATCACAGGTCTTCAGGTGCCAAGGTAATCCACTCACAGCCGAAACATCTATGCTTGCATTAATCATGTTATGAAGTGGCTGATGTCACCTCTGTCAATGCAGTGAAGACATTCAGGGAGAAAGCCTGTTTGTTTTATACAAGTTGTCCCTCATCCAGGCTGTAGATGATCGTAATAATTTTGTTGAAGTTTTAGAAGCCAACTGCGCGAAGCTGTTTCACTTATCACTGGAAGCGCTCATGAAGACTCAAGATGATGACATCCGCATGAACTGTGTTGGTAAGCTAATTAAAAATATTACATAGCTAATCTTGTTTTTGATTAATCATTTTACTTTATCATGAGTAAGTGTAGACTGACGATGTAATCGAAACTAGTCCCTGGGAAAATTCTGTCTATAGTTATTTTCTTTAGTTAAATAAACACTGGGGAGCCCTCTGTTGTATTTCATTCTTATTGAAACTCCATCCTTAATCAAGGTACTTTGGTGCAACCATTTGTCAAGCTTGAACGTTTTGTAGCTTACTAGATCGTTAATAATTTTGTACAAATTTTCATTCCTCGCTCAAAACAATTGCATACATGTAATAATATTAGCTGCTTGACAGATTAATTAACTGTGATGTTTCTGGCGGGGATAACTATGGTACATAAGTTTATTCTTGGGATAACTTGAACACTAGAGTTTTTGTAACCCCACCCCCCTCTGATGAAACCTCTAAGTTTGCAAATATGGGAAAAACTGACATTTAGAAGATTTTGAAGCACTGCAAGTCATTAGAGAAGTAATGAACCATCGTTGCGTCCTGCTCTGAAAAGTATAAAGAGACTTAGATAAGTGGCACTCCACTTTGTTTAGGAGGTACTCATAGTAACAAAGATGACATATCTTGAACCAAAAAAAAAAGATGACATATCTTCATTGAAGTTTTGTCTATCTTTTCCATCTTCTTGTCCAGTAATTACTTCCTTGTTTGCTATTGTAGCACTTTTAACAGTGTTTGCTCATAGAGGATGGTTTCAGACTTTCTGTATGAGTGAAGTTATGGACTACTGTGAATCTGAGAACTTCATGCAGACAGTGGATCAAGCATATGACCAGTTCCCTCTAATTACCCTATTTGCCGAGGCTATCAAAGGCCCGTTACTTTCCTCAGACAGCCAAGTTCAAGTTGCAACATTGGACTTGATTTTTATGGGCCTTTCAAGTAGAGCTAACTCTGCAGAAGAAATTCAAGTGCTAGTGGAGGAGAACATTACAGATTATGTATTTGAAATACTGAGATTATCAGGTAACATCTGTTGGAAACTAAAGCGTTTTTTATTATGAGAAAACTTGAATGTTCTGTTTCTGGTTGGTGTCACTATGACTTTGACTTTAACTGTAGCTTACTGGTTTGCTTAGAATAAGTAATAAATTACTTGAAAGTTGAAACCATCTCATCACTGATTATCACTATACTGTAAAAGTCTCTTCACAATGCCTATTTACTTGCATTTTTTAATTTTCTAGAATACTTGATAAATTTCTTTTCCTCTGCTATTACAGGATGCAAGGATCCAGTTGCAAGCTCTTGTATTCGGGTTCTTGATCTTTTATCAACAGCAGTGCAAGCATTCAGGCAAAGGCTTGCTATTGGTTTTCCAACTCTGATACCTGCTTTGCAATATGTAGCTGAAGTCCCTTTTCACCCTGCACAAACTCAATCACTGAAGCTTGTGTCGTACTGTGTTTCGAATTGCCCAGGAGTTGTCTCCACCTCTCATGTTGAAGAAATTGGCCTAATTTTGACAGGGTTGCTAAAGAAGCATATTGATGGTGAGTCTGGCATCGCATCAGAGACGTTCAATTTGGCCTGCTCGTTGTTAGTTTCTCTTATGACAACATTTTCTGCTAGTGCATTAAATTTAAACTCACTTCAGGATGCCTCAGAAGGTGCTGTTTTGACTTGTTTGAGAAGCTATGACAAACACCCTGACCAGTTTCTGTATGCACTATATCTATTTAAAGAGGCCTTTTGTTTCAGCTTCAAAGGTAATCAGAACAAGCCAATCAACATGGATTTGATAAGCAGAAATTTTTATCTATGTAAAACCCAATTATTACCATGGTTCATGAGGACCATCAATAGCATAGATGAGGAAGACATCATCTTGGGGGTGGTCGAAACATTCAACGCTATCCTGATGCTGGATTCCAATGCTGAAACGAGGATATTTGCAGACACTCTGGTCTCGTCGTCTTGGTTTAGTGTGCTATTAGGATGTTTAGGCTCATTTCCTACTGAAAAGATGAAACTAAATGTTTATGGGATTTTCAGTTCAATAGTTGATGTACTTTCGGGAAATAATGGCGGTCAATCCTTAAGAGTTGCTGCTTCCTTGTTACCTTCTGACCCCATGGATTTGTTATTCCTACTTGGTCAGAAAGGCTCTCATGATGTTGAACTTCTTTCTTGTCAGTCAGCAGTGCTGCAGATACTCTACATCAGCTCTTTATATGATGATCGGTAATCAAGCTGCTGACTTCTCAGCTCTTTGCATCTCTATATTTGACTTTTAAATTTTAAGACACTTGAAAATGACATTTTATATTTAAATATGAATCAAATATGGGTGGCGACCGAGCATGATGGCAACATATGATCTATATCCCCAACCCCACTGTGGGATGGAGGATTGTTGTTGCTGTGTAATTGTTAGTTTCTCGGTTAAAATAAATGAAGTTTTTTACTATTTGATTATCTTGTAACTTGTTAGTTTTGTTCTCTGGCCAGGCTTGCAGATGATAAGTTGGTGTTATCGTCTTTAGAACAATACATTCTGCTCAATGGCAGTGATTTTCTGTATGGAGCTTCTACTTCAGTTGCATTTGATTTGCTCGTAAATGTTTATGGGCTGTACAGAGGGCTGGCCAAGACTGGCTACCAAGTTCCCTATAGCAATGAAGCTGAAAAACTTCTCTTTGAATTGTTGAATCAGAAGGAGTGGGATTTGCTTTCTTTGAACATTCATTTTATGTCCCTAAAATGGCTTTTTCAACAAGAAAAAATCTGTGGGCCATTGACGGAACAGATGCTGAGGTTATGCAGGTGCAGCAACTGTGGAGGACACAGTGTTATTGTCTATGGTAAAGATAGCCAAAACTTAGATGTGACTTTGATCGCAGACTTGATAGTCGGAGGGGATAATTTTGGAGCTGTGATTCTTGTATTTTTACTAGGAGACCTAATTGAGAAGGAAGGCCCGGAAGATGACATGATCTCAGTAGTTAATACCATTTTGGAAATAATTCAACTGCAGCCGGCTGCTTCTGATCAGTTATGCATGCATGGGTTAGCCAGACCAGTCTGCAATATATATACCCACTCAAGATATTCCTCTGTCCCTGACTTAAACGTGGCCACCTCCAAACTTATACTTACCATTTTATGCTCAGTAAAATCTGAATCCCTTGATGAACATGATGCTTGGGTTGACATTGTCGCTAAGGTATCATAAGTTGTGTTTTTCTTCTTCTTCTTATCCTTTTTTTTTTTTTTTATTCCCTCCCGATTTCGGGTTATAACTTTACTCGTTCTATTCTGCAGTTGATTGATTACCTGATAAATACAATCAGATCAGAATGTTGGATGGAAGAAACTCCTCTGGTGATTGGCATTCTTGCTTTGGTATTGCACCACTCCACCGATCAAGCACTGGTTGAAGCTTCAAAAATTGTACTTTTGAGTACACCGTTAAACGCAGTCATAAATACAACTATCCTTGAAGCGTGTTCAAAGGGACATGCTCTAATCGATCATGATGAAGGAACTCAAACTGGAGAGGCTCTCATGTTTTTGCTTTTACTGATATTCTTTTCCTTGAAAAGGTAAATCACTTTCCCCTCCTGAACATAAGCTTTTTGACTTACTTTCTCTCAACTTGCTATTTTTCCTCTCTAGTTTTCAGGCTGTCCTTCCAGGGATGATTGAATGGTATACCTTTATTGATGAAGTCAGCCAGAAGCAGTCAGCATCCTGTACTAGTCTTCGTTGCCATGATTTCTGCAAATTATTGCACTTTGGCTCTCCGCCAGTAAAGCTCATTTCTTCTTATTGCTTGCTGGAGATACTGAACAGGATCTCAACTATGGAAAGCACTAAACAAACTAAGCCACATATCAGAAGAGGTTATCTATCATCCATAAAGGCCATTTTAGAAGGCTTGATATTCTCTAGTGATGTTACCGTCTCAGTAAATTGTTCCCTCTGTCTGTCATTACTCATTGAGTGGAAAGATGAGAATTTTGAGAAATCTGCAGTTGGCACGAACACTTGGTTCAGGATGATAGTAGAGGAACTGGTCATGTCATTGACAGTCCCACACCTGGCATCAAAATCCTTGCCGAATTATCACAAGCCGGCAATCAATGTCACTATCGCTTTGTTGAAATTGAAGGAAATTCCTGAGTGGATGACTATTGTCTTTGATGAACCTCGTATTACTGGAATTATCAAAAACATTTCGACAAGTAACTTGACAACTCACTTGGTACTCTTGTTCCGTGAGCTTCTACAATCTGGATACCTAACTGCTGAGCACATCACCAGTCTTAACCGAGTGTTCCAGGTCAGATCAGTCATGCTCTTTTTCCCCATGTGACTTCCTTTTTAATCTGCAATTGCTCAATTGTGAACAATAACCATTTAGAGGCTTACAGAATCATAAAAACCTGTTCGGATTATCCTTATGCTGCATTTCTCTTATGTATGTCATCTGCTTTTGTAACTCTTTACAATACTTTAACACATCATCAGAAACTGTGGAATTGTAGTGACAAGATTAGATCAAGCATAAATTAAGGCGTTTTAAATGTTTGTAATGCAGGCATGCAGGCAACATTTATATGTAGATGAGATGAAAAATGATAGCAATTACGAGAAGAAGACCAAAGCAAATGAAGTTCCCAATGGTGTGGGTAACATTTTCGAGTTGCTTATTAACCTCATGTCGTCTCACAGGTCTACTGATACAAGCCTACGAGTGGAGAATACGAATAAAGACCTGCTCGCAGAGATAGAATCATTCTTGAAGTGCCTAATGGAAGAGGAGAAGATCTAACATCATGAAGCATTTGTGACGGATGTATTAGGATCAGGGTTTTCGGGCCATAGGGTATGTTTTTGTCTCTCTAATGTCCCAACAGGAATTCCAAAGAACTAATTACCTTCTCAGGCCAAGCCTTTCAGCAAAGTATCTTGTTCATTAAAATTAGGTTAGGCCATAGGTGCTTACAAAACGTAGATCAGACATAAAGATGAGTTTACGGCTTTTGCCAAATCAAGGTGTTCATCATTGGCTTTTAAACTGAGGAAGAGTCATTATAGATTTTCCAAACCATTGTTGGTATTGGTATTTAAACCTTATAAATAGAATATCCACGTCAACACTAACCAGAGAGAAAAATAAAAATATAACATTTCATCGTTTTAGTCCACCCAGAAAGTTAAAATACTTTGATAAGGAGAGAGTGACGTTGTGTGTACATTGTCCAAACTTGGTCACCACCTACTTGTAATTACGACAAAGCTCAAATAACACAAACTGCGTTTTGCTGATACAATGATTTACTTGCAACAACACAGCAAATCACTGATTCATAAATACAAAATATAAAAAATGGAATGTTCCTACATTCAAGTATATCCGGTCGATGAAGACAAAAGGTCAAGAACTCTACACCCAGCAAAATTCCTACATTGAAGTTCAAAGAATTACAATCATTCTCCACAGGTACTTGTGATAAATCCAGCCACCATTGTCTCTTTAGGCTGTCGTTTGTTTTGTCGAATCAAAGTTCATAAATCCTGCCACCATTGTACATGCAACCAAAAACAACCACTTTAATTCTGCCTTGCATGCCTCACAGGGAAGATTGTATTGCTATTTGATGTTCGTGACTGCAGACAGGGTTCAAAGCAAATGACGTATACTTTTATCCTTGTCAGAAGAGTACAGTTTCTGGAGCAACTGCAACCTCTTGACATAAAATGGGAGCTTAAAGTGCAAGTTATATTACCTACATGGTCCAGTTCCTTTCCCAACCAGATTCCACCACGGTAACGTGAATTCCTTGGCTGGTACTCCCTTCTTCGAGACACGTGGTATTTTACTGGGAGGGAGTAGTTCTTGCAGCTTGTTTGTCAACTCCTGGAATTGTGCCAAACTAGTAGATCTACGGGGCTTTTATAACAAGCTGAGAATCCCTTTTGATACAAACCAAGAGACATGAATATTCATGAAAAGCCAATATATTTCCAGAATTTGCTTTTTGACTATCCACCAAGAGCTAGGCTTAACCCTGTATACTGACCACTAGTCGGGCATTACCATGAGTCTTCACCAAATTTATAAGGTGCCGATATGTCCATGTTTCCAGTTTTTTAGTTTTGGCTTCAACCAAGTATAACTCTTCAAAATCTTTAAGAAACTTCCCTTTCCCAAAGGCACTGAGAACTAGAGCATCTGTTTTCAGTTCAACAGCATCATCAAAATATCCTGCTCTGGCCCATATCCTCTTCACTGAAGCACCATTAAACCCACACATGCACGCGTCAAATAAGACTCCAACAGTAATAATATCAGGATTTACATATCGAGCTGGCAATTCACAGAGTAAGACTTGCAGCTGTTTGAAATCTTTCATCTTTAAACAGGCTAATGCCAATATATTTGCGATCGTTACGCTCCAAGGTACTTCTTTTGACTCCATTTCTTCAATAATGGAATACATACCTTTTTTTCTGAGAACACATGCATGAGAAAGGAGGCGCAAACACCACACGAGATCAATGTTGCCAGTCTTTGATGAAAAATCCAGTCCCAAGTCATCTAACCTAGAAAACATGAGATTCTCGATGTATACTCTTGCTAATTTCTGAACCAACTCCTCTTCTATGTAAGCTTTTGAATACATAGCCCTTCGGAAAACCTTTTCCATCTTGTCCAAAATTCCAAAGTTGGCATACGTCTCTAACATTGCAATTAGAGTAGAAGTCTGCACATCCATCTTTTTCGTAAGGAGAGCCTGATATGTTCGTTCCATCTTATTGATTAATCCAGCTTTTGCATATTCTCGAACAAGCAAATTGTAGGTTAGATGATCAGGTGAACAGCCATCCAGTTCCATTTCCCTCAGACATCTGCCCATCTCATCGAACATTTTGTACTTTCCATATGCTCGAATGAGCCCATCATAGATTTCTGTATCGGGATTTAAACCAGTATCCTTCATCTCCTTTAGATAGGAAAAAACATCATCAAATTGACCGATTCTAGCGAAGCCATTAATCACTAACTTGTATATTTCTAAAGAAGGCCCTATACCGTAGCTCTTCATTTGCTTAAGTGCTTTTATGGCTGCATCCATCAGCCTGTCCTTCAACAAAAAGTCAATCATCTTCTCATAGTTCTCCACATTTATTCTCGATTTATCCACATTTTTCCACAAGTCAAACACCTACAACACAATCAGTAAAAGGACAACTCAGCATCAACGAATAAGTATAACCAAATTGGCAAATCGCAGGTTGAACATTATTTTCTAGCCTGAGCAACTCCCCTAACTCCAAATTAACACTCAAGATTCAAGAAACTCTACTTAATTTTCATTTTTTTCCTCTCATATTCATTGTAGATAACAAAGCACAAAAAAGCTGAACCAAAAACAAAAACAAAATTTTAAACCAAAATAGAAAACAGATTATATAGGGCCTCATTTTAGCTAGATTAAGGGAAATCGCATAAATGAATCAGACTTCTCAGTTCATTCTCTACTTTCAAAATGATTAACTACTCTGTTCCAACTACCAAAACGGGACTCAATCAACTTAATATAGCAAGAACGAATAACTAAACCACATAGATAAAGCCAGTTAGCTCTTTAGAAACAACCAAAATTCTAGAGTTAAAGAACAAGAAGTTCCCAACTACATCCAATCACAGGCCAAGCTTACATCACAGAGACCAGCAAATTGGATGATAAAGAAACACAGATTTGTTCAAATTCCTAGGATAGATTGTATGACACATTACAAATCATACCTGTGGAATTTCGGTGGTTCTTGAATTCTGGTAGAGGAATTTGATTACACCCCGAAACTGCTCTTCGCTCCAATCTCCATCTTCTTTGAGCATCCCAAGTGGGTCTAACTGCTGTCTTTCCCCTTCAACCTTTCCGACGCAGGGAGATTGTTCTGGTTGCAAAGAAAGGTTCTTTCTGGCTTTCTGGAAGACATGCTTCGAATTTGATGATGGGGTGTACTGGGATTTCTTCTCATGGCCATAGCTAAGTTGGGGATAAGATTTAGTTGAGGAACAAGGAATCTGGAATTTGTTTAAGGTTGGGGTTCCGCAGGGTTTGGTGTAAAAAGCAAAGGGTTCATTGAAACTACAGTAATTGGCTCGAGTCATTTCACTGTGAATATTCTGATAGAGGAATTTATTCAAATGTTTCCAATAAATATTTATTCCCTCTTTATAATAATGTGTTTGTGGACTGTGGTGTTAGACGAGCCCTCAGTCTAATATTTAACTTGCATTATTCGATGATTAACGCAATTTTGTTTTGTTTTTCACACCAAGTATTGCATTGATTTCTATCAGTTATAATTAGGCAGAATTTATGCTTATCGAAGAAGGAACGCAAGAATTTATATATACACCAAGAAATTGATGCAATATTTCTAGGACAAAACCAATCCGTACCTGGAATATATAACAGGCTAAGGCCAACTAGGAATACTACACAAACACTACTGCAATTTCAGTCAAAAGGTGTACAGAAGTGTAATTGCAAAACCGTCCGATGGGAACATTTAAAGTATTAACTGCCTCTCAATCCGCCTGAAACCGATTAACTGATGAATCACATATCGCGATGTACAGAAGAGCAGCACACAAATGGTACCCAATACGGCTTACTTTTCTTCTTTTCCTTCTTAATCTCAGTTGGATATCTCGCTGGAGAGTTCCATTCCTTCTCCATCTCTCTCTTAGATGCATCATGAACTGGAGTTTCTGATCCCATGATCGAGCTCACAGTAGTCACTCCAGCACCATTGTTCCTTGATGCTGTTTCATCTGCGGGAGCCTTGAGTGAAAGTTGTTTTTCTGGTGCTGTTTTAAGTTTTGTTTCAGCTTGGGCTTCATTCAGGAGATTTTTCAAGGGACTGTGCTGCTTTCCAGAACTCCAGTTGGTCACTTTGGCTATCAGCTCCTCATTTTTCTTTCTGCCCTCTGACTCGTTTGTCACGTTGGTTAGAGAGGGAATCCATCCAGCTTGCGCAGCTTCAGAACTTGAGGGTTCAGTCTTTGGGAGAGTTTTGGTTTCAGGAGCTGCAACTGTATTGTTAAGCTTGGATTGAGAATCAACCAACGACAAGAAAGATGGAGGCTCATAAACATCCAACTTATCATTATGGTATGTATCAGTGGCAGTCTGTTGATTTGAAGATGCATCCGCAGATTTTTCTGGTGCTTGAGCAGCTGTTGACAGGGCATCAGCATCAGTTACAGTTGTCCCATCTGACTGGGTGGAAAGCACTGTTCAGTCCATCAACAAGCAAGCTCATAATTAGCGCAAATGAGAAGAAAGAGCATGCAACCTTCACTAACATTAGTTGCAAAGGACATTGCACAGAGAGAAAAGTATAATGTATTAGCAGCACATTTGAAAATTTGGAGTTAAACAATCCCAAAGTGAATTTGCTAAAGCAGCAGATGCACAAGCACAATTTATAAATCTTGATACCATTTGTGAGTAATGCAGGCAGCAGGAAAGTCAAAACTTAAAGAGATGCCTCATATTATAACTAGAAAAAAGATTCCAATAAATCACCACAGTTGAGCACTAAAAAAAAGAAAGGTAAAAACCTGAAACGGATCCCCAGTTCCCCTCCAAACTCTCAGTTCGGCTGCTTGAAACAATAGGGTCATCAACAGCTGAAACACTGGAATTCACTAGAGTAAGCTTGTCATCCGGTTCAGCTACAGAAGGCTCGGAAGGAGCTGAATCTTTGACATATACGTCCTCAACAGCTGCAGAACTTTCCTCTGATATTGCAGAAGCTGCAGATATAGGTACTGGCTCATTAAGTAATGAATCTTCAGAAATCTTTTCTGAAACTAAATTTTCTCCTTCTGGATTCGACTCGGAGAGACCACCAATAGCACTGGTAAAAATTTGAGCATTAGTGTCAATCGAAGCTTCTGATAGTTCAACTGATACAACTCCGACATTTTCAGGACAATCCACAGAAACTACACCAACAGCACCACTTGAGTTTAATTCACTGTTGTTACCTATTTCAAGTCCCTGAGTGGCTTCCATGATCACTCCATCTTCATATTTCTGTGATATATTATTCGAGTGAATTGTCCTGCCTTCAGCAGTAACATGATCACTCTTGTTCGTTACAATATCTGCACCATTTTCAACTTCGACTGTGGATTCATTCTGTGATGATTTGTCATCACCAAAATGGGATACTTCAGGTTTTGCGATATGCTGTGTTTCTAATGCATTACTTCCGGAACCTTCTTCATTGATCCCCTGTAAACCAGATGTATCAACTTCCTCTTCAACAGGCTCTAAAACATCTCCTTTCTGAAGATTTTCAGAAGAACTAACCTCTGAATGAGCGGTCATGCTTGAAACAGCACTTGGATCAGGTTCAGATAGTAACTTCTCACCACTTTCCACGGACCTAGTAGTTACTTCAGTGTTCCCCAAATCCAAAGTAGATTTCAGGACTCTGTAGTCTTTAAAATCTTGAAGCAGGATTTCAGGATTTTCAGTAACCGGCAAATCTTCAGATATTGAAACCAACAATGTTTCTTCACTGCCTTCGCCCTTGAAGTCATCCTCACCTTGTTTATAATGGTCATTTCCTAATGTTGTATTAACAGCTTCAACTTGAGAAGTACCAGAACTATCAACAGATTTGGCAGATGCAACCTCCACAGTTAACATAGTCTGGTCTTTCTCTGGTTCAATATCACCCAGAGTAGAAACTTTGCACGGAACAGGTTCCACGATCACATTTCCGGTCTCAGCACTCAGTTCTTGCTCCTGTTCAGCAATTTCACCACCTGCTGCAGAATGTACTTTTTTCATGTCAGCCTCATGCAACTTATGTTCCAGAATTACACCATCTAAAGCTTTTCTGTCTTCCTCAGGTACGGCAGTGTCCAGCACATGCTCAGAACCTTTTTCTTTCAAATCATCTGTGGCAGATACAAGTTTGGGTCCTTCAGTTTCCAACATGCCCGGGGCCACATGTCCAGTGCTGCATTCAACTTCCATCACACTTTCTTTCAATTCTACATCTCTTTCAAGTTCAGAAGATATCGACGCCTTTTCTTCCTGTTTATCAACATTCAAGTCAATGCTCTTTAAGTTATTTTCAGATGCAACTTCAGAAGTTTTAACCAGCTGGCCATAAATTTGATCAACACCAGCTGAAGCTTCCTTAACTATGAAATCACTTGAAGGTTCATTATTCTCTAACTGGGTCGTTGCATTTACAACAGCCTCCTCCTCGTTCCTTGTGTTCCCAGTACCTACATCCATAAGGGAACTCCATGTAAGAAATAAGTACAAAGAGTGGTGCATTGTATTGCTTCACCGGTAGAATCAATATAGTGTCAGGGTAGAGTTGATCATTGTCTGAAAGTGTAAATCAGCCGGTTCAATTTGGCTTTCTACGTAAGAGAGCTTAAAAGAACTTTTTGAGGGCCAACACAAAGCCAAACACATTACACTTATGTTAGAAACTTAGCTTCCTTTAATATATCAACTTACCAGGTTTTGAATGATTTTTTCATTCAAATTATTTTCTAAAAACAGGAAAGATGTTAACATCGTGAAGGATTACCATAACGAAAATTTAAAAAGTAATAAACAAATTTAAATTAGAAAGGTCTAATTCCTGCTAGTAAGTACCAGAACTCATCAACAGCAAAATCATTTTTTAAATCTACTTACTGGCAGCAATTTACAACGTACCTAGCCCCAAATATTTGCAGCCACGGAAAAAATAATGGAAAAGCTTATGCATAAAACAAAAGTAGATAAATAGGTACAGGAAAATCCATTGTCTTAAGGACAAGTAAATGTGAAGGAACTGGAAGAAAAACTGTTCTGTTTAAGTTTTTAATGTATGCTTCACCAAAACTCAGTAAAAATGACAAACTTACGGTTATAATAAAAATATACATGAGATTCAGAAACCAAAAATCACATGAACGTGTTTTCATAGCAAGAAAATGACATATGTTTGCTAAGAAACTTTGTCAGTAAGTGCGTCTAATTAACAAGGACAAGGAAAGGATTCTTTCAAGCACAACTCAATGATGAATTACATATCCAAATACTTGCTTACCAGCAGTGCCGTCACCCTTGGTTTGTTGACTATCATCCAGATCATATGCCAGCTCTTTTCCAGCACTCTTTTGAAGCTTTCCACCCCTTTCCAGGGGATCTTCCACCCCGGGACTCAAACCACTATCAGAAAACTCTGTGACTGCATCGGCGAAAACTTCATCTTCCGATTTCGTTGATCTCAGCAACCCGGTTCCCTCACTGCTACCAAGCTCCTTAACAGCTACCTTCTCCATGTTGGGGCCTTAAAATACATTCAATCCACCAAAAAGAGTAAAGACCAGAGCACATGAAGATGAACAAATTTAAGACACCTACGAGATCCAAAATCAACAGGTTGCACACTACACTACTAAATGTGGAGGTAAAGATAAAACAAATTATAACCCCAATACACCAAATTAAGAAACTGAGTGAATGAAATTCATTACTTGGGGTTTGCATTTCATCATCTGAGAGGTGGTCATCATCAGTGGGGCCGTGCCCTGAGCCAGAATCATTCATCATATAACCCTCAATCTTTCCACAGTGCTTCTTGTGAGCTCGTCTGTGTTTTGAACTTGGATGCGGATTTGGAAAAGGCCAACCACATTTATGACACACATGAACCCCACGGCCTTCATGCTCTGCGACAATTAAGGAAAAACCCCATTAAAAAAAAAACCCTGCAACACACTCAACCAAAAAACTGTAAAAAAACAACTTCGGAAAAAGAGATCAGTATCCCCATTAATGAACAGTCGGGGAAAAAAAAATTAAAATCTCCAACATTGACATAAAAAATAGATTTATCCAGCAACAAAGTACCAACTCCTGTACAAGATTCGCCATTCCAGGAACCCATCACATAAATAAAATTAAGAGTCGAATTCGTACATTTCACTAACGTAAACTTCGTAAAAGGGAATAATGTCAAGAAGAAAACAAAACCCAAAAAAAAAAAGAAGTAAAATTAAGCGTAAAAATCTGTAACTGTAAAAAAAAACCAAGAATTCTCAAGAAACGTAAGAAACCCATGAAAACCCACAAATATTAAAGATCATTGCCTCTTCCTCAATCCAGTATCAGTTAACAAAATGCAAAACTAAGATTTAAAACCCTTTTTGGCTCTTTTTCAGGAAAGGGAAAGGAACAAACCGGATTGGGAGGATTTCTTGTGATCTTGAGCATCCATGTCACAGCAAACAAACCAGATTACAGGAAGAAACAGAGGGAGGCGGCGCAGAATGAACAGTAACAGTGACAGAGATAAGAAGCTTTCAAAAAGGGGAAAAAAATGGAGAATGGAAACTGTAGCTAGCAAACAGGGGAAGACCAGTGTCTGTGCGTTTTGTGGAAAAAAGACTTTGTAATGAGTGAGAGAGGACGACTCCGGAAGGACAGGAGAGAGAAGACAGGGTTTTTCTTTTTTCTTTTTTCTTGTCAGAAGGGTTAATTTATTGTGATTTAATTAATTTATTAGCACAAACTTTACCTAAATCTATAAGATTTGCTAATAACTATAAGCACTTTTCTTATAATCAATGAGATATAAATTCTTTACTAAATGCACAATTGTCCCAAAAAATAATTATTAATCCACATATTCTTAACAAAATAATAATGATTTTAAGATGGATTCTTTAGTTCGTAGAGAATGGTCTTATCCTGCTTGGCATAACTATTTATTTGTAGTCGATTAAGTAAAAAAAAATCTTTTAGAGTGTGATGATATATCTCAATGGAAGAGAGAATTTTACATTAAGTATGATCCAATAGTAATGATCGTTTTGATATTTTGTATCTTTGAGACTTGTATAAAGTTATTGTGTAGATTTGAAAGATTCTTACGACACTGGTCATGATATAGATTTAACACTTTGGATAAAGTTTGTAACACCAAACTAGTTAGCAACATAACTAAACATTAATTTAAATATAACGGACATTTTGCGTGTCTACAAGTTATGATTTATGCAGATTTTGTACGAGTTTACATATCTTGTGTACTAAATTTTAAATTTATTACAGATCCGTCTACATTTTCTTCCTTTGTTATGGATGAAATGACACTTATATATTATCGAATTATTTCTCGTGTTTAATTTTGAATCTCTATTATATGATTGGTTGTTGATCACCAAGAGTCCAAACCAGATGGAGCTCCATATTTGTTCAAAAGCTATGGGTTTTCAATTCAACTATAGACTATTTCTCACAATAGAAAAATACATTGTCTTAGATGGCTCTATCATTGGCCATATGTTATACCAAATACTAACGAGAAACACTAAAAGAACATGTTTTTTTGACTAATTAGCAAGAGATGAAAGAATAATGCCATATGAAGTGCATGAATTGCCCCCCGTCCAATACGTTCACCACATGTGTCCTAGTTGTTGGAATGACTCAAAATACATAATTCATAATTGATGTATGATCTTCATGATCTGTTGTAAGTTGTAACGCATCTTTAGTAATTGACTATTGATTAATACTCTATAGGTTTTTTTTTTTTTTTTCCAGTTCCTGAACAAGAATATGTTTACAGAATTATATTACTCCCTCCATCTCAAAATTATTATCCAGTTTGAGATTTTACTTTTAGTACAATTTGAACTAGAAATGAAATCCCAAACTGGACAATAATTATAGGACGGTGGGAGTAATTCAGAAAACACTTTCAATTCGGGGGCTTAATTTGTTTAAAGAAAAAAAAAAAGAATAGAAAGAAGAAAAAGCACCCCAATATTCTATCATTTTCCCAACTTATATATACTGATCCAAGTCATGGTCAACCACCATCGGTAGTATCTAACGGAAAGAGATATGATTCAATATAAAAATATTAATTTGCTCCTACAAAGACAAAAAGAGGAATTGTTCAGCAATAATATGAGATGCATTATTTAATTAGTCACTATGAAATTGGTTTAATTTAATCTCATTAGTTTAATCAAAAAGTACTAATTAAGGCTTAAAAGTTGGTGAATGTGACACTTCCCAGAGGCCTAATTGGTATCTAATCTTTTGGCCATCTTTCAGTTTTGGATATGTGGGGATGGATAGATGACAGACTACTTGTTTGATTGTGTCAAAAAATGACAAATTATACCAATCTTCTTGTAATTTGCAATCTTTCAAGTTACATATTTATATATTTTCACAAGGAAATTTTACAATCCTTTCTAAATTTCAAATTATTTTTTTTATTTTCACCATATACATATAAATTTACTTTCTAAATTTCAAATTACTTATTCATTTTCACCATACAAAATACTTTGTGTATACTATATTTAGTTACTAAATTTCTATGAAGGAATATTTTTTCCTTTAAAAACAAATATGATAATGACATTTTTGAGGATCATTGTCAAATGTCAATCATCATCGTCACCATTTATCATTTGTCAAATTTCTGGTTCACATCAACTAATAGTCAAACAATGATAAATGACACTTCTTTTATTTTTTTAAAAAAATAATTTTCATATTTATGGTTTTATTGTAATGTAACAAACTGAAACATTATTCTAAAATAGAGAAAGTATACCCTATATACTTCATAGATTCTTTTGGAGAAAAGTTTTGTAATCTTCTCTTGGTTGAAGTCTTGGAGCGATGGGGGAAAAAAATAAAATTTTTGGGGCGATGATAATATTGAAATATTTACTTGCAATAGGTTGATTGAAGAGAATGAATTAAGACCAAAACATTGGCATGGTCTATACTCTTAATACTACTAGCACGCATTGTGTAATTTGATAATTTCTGCTTGCACTAACAAAAACTCTCATCAACAAAAGAACAAAATTGAAATGGACTTTTTTTAAAAAATAAAATAAAAATAACAATAACAAAAATAAAACAAAACAAAGGAGAGAGGGAGAGAAAACTCATTGGGTGGGTCAGAAATAAGAATTGATACTAAACTTAAAACCTTTGGGATGGGGCCCAGTTTAGGATGGCCCAACACTTTTGTCAGCTTGTATTTACCTTTCACGTGCTCCAAAAGCTCCATATTAATCCACTCTGCTCTCTTTGGAGTTTGGTCAATCTCCGGCCTCCACTAACATCACGAACTAACAAGATTATCCAATGTGTGATTCTGCATCGGATTACTGTGCTCCTCCTACCAATATAATCTCTCTTTTTTCTCATAATGCAAAATTTGCTTGTCCACTTCTCAACAATTTTTTAAAAAAATTGAAATATAGAGTATCTCTTTTTACAAGCATAGATACATACAATTTGAATTCGAGGCTTTGAGAAAAGAAAAACAAAACTGAGGACATTACGGGTAATTTATTTGTCAGTCGAATTTTTAATCAAAAAAATTAGTTTTGATCATTCATTCATTTTTTAATTCATTTTCAGTACAATAAATAGCATATAAGCTGATCTAGGAATACCAAAGAAAGGTGAATTATGAGAGAAAGATATAAATTTTCATTCATTTTAATCAATAATTAATTTTCAGTACTCTAACCAAAAAAACTGAATTTAAAATTTAATAAAAAAACTTATCTAATATTTCCTACATTCCAAAATTATTTTGCAGTTTGAATTTTCATTCAGAATACATATTATACTGAATATGAAAATGTAAATTTGATAATTATTTTGGGATGGAAAGAATACCAAACAAGCCCTAAGATCATGACAAAGAGGTATAAAACCCATTAAAACACATCAATAAATAAGTCAAAGGCAGCTCATATAGTGGATTGGGCTTTATTGGGTCAACGAGTGTAATCCATATCCATTAGATATTTTTTAATACTCTCTTTGTATCAGAATTATTGTCCAGTTTGGATTTTCATTTTTAATTCAATATAATTTAGGGACGAAAGGAGTATTTCCTCTCCAGAAAAAACATTTTGAAAAAAAAAGAGAGAGAATGAAACGAATCCATCGTGATGATTGGTTCCGCATAAATCATAATCACCATGTTGAATAAATTTTTGAGAATCACCAACTGTAACGATCATAGTAGAAATTAATATCGAATTAAAAGACAAACTCTGCTTCCTCATCTTCCTGTGATGGCAATAATCTCGTTTAAATTAGTTTTAGCTTACTTTCAAGTTTCAATAAGTGGAACCCTCAAATGTTCATGCAGTCGATGAGGCAGGAGTTGAATCTTCATCGACAGCTCAAAGCCATTACTTACATGATACTCCTTCTTCTCACAAAAATAGTTCACATTCAGTTTTGAATTTTGTATTGTTTTTAATACAAATTTGTAAATTCAATGTTCTTTTGGGACGGAGGTAGTATTATATGTTTATGACATCACTTGTTATTTTGAATAGAGTAATGAAGACAAATCTTGATGTAGATTTCTACCCGAAATCCCCAAAATCGGAAGCGAAACACATGGATATGAAAGGTAACCCTTGTCCCGGACTTTACCATTCCACAAACACTCTTTCAGGAGTTTATTAATGGACAATGAAGCACTGAATGGTGGCAAAAACCCCAGTAACCAAACTGATTTTCAGGATACATGCAAAACCGACGAAAGTAGTAATTATAACAAAAAATGAACCCCAGGCAAACAACGTCGGATTGCCCTGAAAATTTGACACAATACTTATATAATGGAATGAAAATTTATGGAAAATTTTGAGCGCATTTGGACGCCTACAGCTCCAGTAACCAAAATGGGCAGTAGCTAAATGGATTTGGACCAATCTGCCACAGAAAATATATTGGATTTGTGTATATAGTAAACGAATTTATTTTGACCTGAAATTTGGACACAATATCTCCAATACACTGAAGTTATAACCCACCAGATTTCAGAATTTTTGGACAACTAAAAGTACTAAAACAAAAATTGGAAAAATAGACTGACCCTAAGTGATACAACCTGGAGTCATGCAATGTTTGGCTTAATAAATTGACACCCCTGGCCTACTAAACCCTTTTAGACTTACAAGATAGGATTTTCAGAAAATATGAAGTCAAACACATGGATCACGCAGGCAGAATCGAAGACGCAAGGATCAATCGCAAGATATAACCATGAACACAATTCACGGTTTGGCTAGATTACTTAGTAATAAAGGAATTCGATACACAAATAGATGCAGCCACCAAAACTACACCTAAAAGAGCAATATGACATGAGATCTGAATGGAAAGAGAGCTTAGTATGCTACCAAGTTGATAACAACAACCAAAGTAAAGGAATCACTAACAATCGCAAAGGAAATGGATTCAACGACCTTGGCTCCTCTTAGATTGTTACAAACTTGATTAGAGAGCTCCAACAACCAGGCCAAACTCATCCCTAGCTGCCATACTCATTGCTTGACACTCCCGGAGGGCAAACCACCAAAGTCCAACCTTGGAATTGCAAGATTTCACCATGGACAATCCATTGATGATCTCTCGGTTTCAAGCTTTGAAAAGCTATAGAATT